AAAATATTTTTGGGGGCCCTGTCATTTAGAATGTGTAAGGAATGTGCAGAGAATGTGTAAAGAATGTGCCAGAATGTGACAGAATGTATGAGAATGTCAGAGAATGTACAGCGATTGTGTGAGAAGTTCGGGAATGTTAGCGAATGGTAAGAGTGTGGTGGATTGTGGCTGATTTTTTTGATTCTATGAGAATGTGTGGAATGTGTCTTGAATGTGAGTGAGTTTTACGGGAGTTGGGTCTCAGGATGTACAACGAATGTGCCTAGTGGGTCCCCCCTCGCGATTATGTTTTCACCGGTCGAACGGAGACAGTCACGCAGCCGAGCCGAGCCGAGTCGAGCCGAACCGGCTCGCGGCGGTCCACGGGGAGTCATTCTCAGACACGAAACGTAATCAGGTTTATCGGATGCGGATGCCTCACCTTCCACACCGTTCGGGCGGTGGGGCTTGGAGCCTCTTGGCTATCGGGGGCCGGCCCGGCCCGGCCGGCTCGGTCAGCTTGGCCAGCTTGGGCGGGGGGCAGCACAGCGGCTCGCAGACCGATTCCGAGAGCCGTTTTCGTCGCTCTGTCTCTTTATCGCACCTAAATGTGACGATCCATGGGTGCGAGAGAGACAGAGCGACGAAAACGGCTCTCGGAATCAGTCTGCACGCTGCGGCGCGAGGGAGACAGAGGCAGGAAGACCGACCGATCGGCGGGGAGGAAGAAAGAAGAGAGACGAGGACCGCATCATGATTGGTATGAGTCGGGCGGCGTGTCTCCTCGGGGAAGGGGGGGGGGGGGGTGCACTGGAACACGACCACCAGCACAGTCGTCGCTCTGTCTCTCTCGCACTCACGGGGTGCGCCGCGTGTGTGCGAGAGAGACAGAGCGACGCAAAAGACCCACGGAGTCGGTCTGCGGAACCCAAACCCCCCGGAACAGGGAGAAACGACCTCAGAGGAGGGGGAGGGGGGAGGGAGGGGGCACCCTCCCCGAGCTCCACCGCCCGCCGCGCCGGACCGCAGTCAGTCAGGTGAACGCCGAGCGCTTGATTGTTTCAAGGCGGTTTGACGGCGCCCGCCTCGGGCTGGCTGGCTGGCTGGGACTGGACGCTGAGGGGGTGGTCGGGGAGGGAGAGAGAGAGAGAGAGGCGGCAGGTAAGGGCCGAGAAAAACGGCGAGCAGGACGGCGACGGTGTCCTCGGATCAAGGACAGCCGCCGGTCCGGTACAGTACAATAATTATGGCCTGCAGGCAGTGCCGAGGCGGGCCGGGGTCGCGACAGCGGGACAGCGCCGCCCGAGGCCGCCTCCCCCCCCCCCTCTTACCTAATCGACGACAGCAACGTCATCTCCAGTAGTTCGTCGTCGTCGGGCACCTTTGAAGGCCAGGCCTACCCTCCAGGCTCCAACGCCCTCCTCTCTCCTCTCTCTCTCTCTCTCTCTCCGAGGAGTTCATGCCCTTCGTCCGGCCGAGGGCGGAGAGTCCACTCCACAGTGGCCCCTCTCGGCCGAGCGATTCCGAAGAATCGGTTCGTCGCTCTGTCTCTCTCGCACCCGTGCGGCGCACCCTCCGAGTGCGACAGAGACAGAGCGACGAACCGGCCCCTCGGAACGGCTCGGCTGACCCGTACCCGTACCAGTGTACCGGTGTCCGGCCAGGAGACACCTCGGTGGCCTGTCGAGCAATGTCACCGCCCTCGCACTCCACCCACCCCCCCCCCCTCCCTCTCTCTCTCTTTTATCTCTCTCTCTCTTTTTTCTCTCTCTCTCCCTCTCTCTCATTCTCTCTCTGTCCCTCTCGCACTCATGGAATGTACCGTAGGGGTGCGAGGGAGACAGAGCGGAGCACCCTCCGCAGACCTCTGACGAAAATAAATAAGTACCGCGCCAACCAATGAGGACGAGGCCGACGCGGAGGGAGTTTGGCGTGGGAGTACTCGGAGGGGAGACCCGCACCCCCACCGCAAAACTGGTTTACAAATTCATGGCAATTTGTCTGATGGACTCCGCCAGCGCCGCGAGCGCACTCGCCGAGGATGAAAGCGAAAGCGGCCTCCGTCTCTCTCGCACTCATGGGGCGCCCCGTAAGGGTGCGAGAGAGACGGAGCGACAGTGACAACGTGCGGGATGCGTGTCCGGCACGCTGATTCCGAAACTGTGTCTCTCTCGCACTCATGGGGCGTCCCGTAGGGGTGCGAGAGAGACAGAGCGACACGACGCCGTGCGAGCGCCCTGGTGTCGAGCCAGTGTAAACGACTTGTTGCTGGCAGCACAGGGCCAGGACCACGCCACTGGTAATGACCGGTCGAGCAGCTGGCCGGCCCGGCCTGCATGGAGTGCTCGGGGAGCCTGGGCCGCCCTGCAGCCTCATTCCGAGAGGGCCGCTCTGTCTCTCTCGCACCTATACAGGACGCCCCGTGAGAGGGAGAGAGACAGACTGCCTCTCGGAGGCAGCCTGCTGGGGCTTGGGCTGGGCGAGGAGGGACCAGGGGGGGACCCGACGCCCAGGGGTCACCCAGGTGAGACTAGTGAGGGGATGATGGCCCAAGCCACTCAAGGGCTTCCAGTCTCGTGGGCAGCGCGGGGCGGGGCGGGGCAGGGCAGGGCGGGGTGGCGGGTGGGGTGGGGCGGGGCGGGGCGGGGTGAGGCGGAGGCGGGACGCGACTTTTGTCGACGCCCGGCGTCGAAAAGGAGCTGTACACATTTCCCTCCACACTCTAAAAAGTCGCAAACTAAAAGCACGATCCAATGAAAAACAATTAAAACGGGAACAATCAGCGGACCAAAGCTAGTAACTCACTTTGATACAAAAAGCAAGTAAAAAGACGCGCTCACCTGCTAGCATAACAAGTGGCGAGCGCGGTGCAATCTGGCCGGGTCGGGTACCACCACCCCATCGGTTTTTGTTTCAACCGTTGACTCGGCTAGCACTTCATCGCCCCCTCTAACACACGCACAAGCCAACACATCTCTCACACTCTACACATTTCTCCTTTTCTCTCTCTCTCTCTCTCTCTCTCTCTCTCTCTCTCTCTCTCTCTCTTGCTGGCGCCGACGTGCACGCCACATCGCCATCCCGCCGCACTTCACAGTGGTGTTTCCCTTTGCCGGTCCGCGTCCGGTCCGGCTGGCTTCAGCTCGCTCCAGTCGGCCAGGGAGAATGCATTCGGTTTGCGGAGGCGGGGCGGGGCGGGGTGGGGGGGTGGGGTGGGGCGGGTAGGGGCGGGGCGGGGCGGGGTGGGCGGGGCGGGGTGGGGCGGGGCGGGGCCCGTCGGGGCGGGCGATGGGGGTTTGGGGCGAGGTGGACCAGGGTGGGGGCGGGTAAGGGTGGGGGGGGGTGGGGTGAGGCGTGGCGAGGCGAGGCGGGGCGGGGCGGGCTCGGCGTCCGCAGTTGAGTTTTAGTTCCGCTTACGCTCAAGCGGGGTCATTTCCTCTGGTTATCCTCGAGGCGGCCGAAGAGCTGCGCACTGGCGGGCCGAGTCCGGGAGCGTCGTTGTTTTCGTCGCTCTGTCTCTCTCGCACTCACGCGGCGTCCCGTGCAGGTGCGAGAGAGACAGAGCGACGAAGACGACTCTCGGAATCAGTCCGCGGCGCGCTGCACTGCGGGGCGGCGATGGCAACGGCGTCAAATTCGCACCGCGAAACGGGAAACTTTTCCGCGGGGGCGGAATTGAACGGAACGGAGCAGCGCGAGGCGAGGCAGAAGGCCGGCAGGCCTGGACCGCCTGCAGACTGATGCCGAGAGTCGTTTCGGTCGCTCTGTCTCTCTCGCACTCATGGGGCGTCTCGTAAGGGAGCGAGAGAGACAGAGCGACGAAGACGCGACTCTCGGAATCAGTCTGCAGGACGTCATTGTCTAGTCAATTCAAGCAGTTGAGGCGCCACTTTTCGGGGGACTCGGAGCGAGTGCAGCAGCACTGCAGCCGACTGACGCCGAGAGTCGCTTCAGTCGCTGTCTCTCTCGCACCCGCACGGGACACCCCATGAGTGCTAGAGAGACAGAGCGACGAGAACGGTTCTCCGGAATCAGTCTGCAGCAGTCGGGTGGCGAGACCGGCTGCAGGGGTGGAGGGGAGGGAAGAGGGGGAGCGGAGGGGAGGGGGAAGGTGGGGTGGGAAAGGGGAACGGTGGTAGAAACGGCACCGAATGGTCTGCCGCGGGCAATGGCGCAACTTACACAAACATTGTTGGCATGATTTTCAGTGGAGGCGGGACGGTGGCTGGGAGAGGTGCGAGGGGCGGGGGGCGAGAGAAAGGGGGAGTAGTACGGGTCGGATTATGTGCCTAGGGGTGTGCGCAGGCACGCACACTACGCACTGGGGACCAACAGAACTCAGTTACGGGACGAAAGTCGCGCGATCATCGGAATCTTGCAGAACCAAGTTTCGAGAGTCGAGCCCAACGGCATGGCCAGCGGTGGCCAGGCACGCCAGGCATCGTGAGATTCGATAGATAGGCCGGTCGACACTACGGTGTAGCGGATCAGGTGCGGATCCAGGAGGATCCAAGAGGATCGACAAGTAGCACCTTGTCACCCTATAGGTAGGCAACTTTAATGTCACATGTGACGGACGCCTGCTTTGGTCGGACACCGCGTCCACTAGGCCATGCAAATCACAAACCCCTGATTCGTACTGGCCATGTCTAGACTTTAAACACATTTTTAATAGTTTTTAACCCCCAGAAGAAATTTTTATCTCATTCTAGTACCTATGTTCTTACTCTAGCTCGCTCCCTCTCCAACCAATACTTTTAAAGCCACAGACCCAGACTCAAACAAACAGACAGACAAACAGACACGCACACACAGGCTCCCAAACTAGTTGCGGGCATGAAAGAGGAGGATCTTAAGAATTCTAGGGCGTCGAGGGAGGCCTTTTGCGGCAACTAGATTGGACACAGTGGCCGCCCAAAGTCAGCAAAATCAGCAAATTTCCGAGATTCGACCACTTTTCGACCAACTTTGGTCCCGAAATTGTTGCGGTCAAAGGCAAAATCGTTGTGGTCAACGTCTTCCCGATACAGGGCATGAAAGAGTAGGGTCTTAAGAATACTAGGGCGTCGAGGGAGGCCGTTGGCCGCAACTAGATCGGACGCAGTGGCCGCTCAAGTTCAGCGAAAACGGCTACTTTCGGTGGTTTCGGAGATTCAATCACTTTTTGACCAACTTTGTGACGTTACTGGTCCCAAACCCGAAGGCCCCGGCAGATTTTTCTGCCTGTCTGCCCTGGCCAGTCCGAGCCTGGCACACACAGTCTCTCTCTCTCTCTCTCTCTCTCTCTCTCTCTCTCTCTCTCTCTCTCTCTCTCTCTCTCTCTCTCTCACCTGGCCGTTCTCGGGCGGGTCCCCGTTGCCGAAGGTGGAGGTGACGACGAGCAGCAGCGCCTCGTGCTCGATGCTGCTCATGTCGTACTCGTCCATGCAGTACACCTGCGCGTTGAAGGCGTGCCCGAAGATGTCGCCCAGCTTCTTGGCGTACGCCTCCGACTTGCCCGTCTCCGTGGCGTACAGCACGGTGGCCTTGATGCGCCGCGACAGCGCCCGGCCGAACAGCTTGGAGGTGAACTTGACCGCCCTGCAACAGCGGGACTACACTGCAAAGGGGAACTGGTGTACATCACGGTGGCCTTGGAGATGGACTTGACCGCCCTGCAACAGCGGGACTACACTGCAAAGGGGAACTGGTGTACAGCACGGTGGCCTTGATGAACAGCATGGAGATGGACTTGACCGCCCTGCAACAGCGCACAGTGGCGCAGAAGACCGGAGGAGGGTTCTGAACTCCAGGGTCGCTAAATGGGACTCGAACCGAACGTGTGACCCCACCAATGGATTGCTCTCCGAACGAGCAATCCATTGGTGGGGTCTGCTTAGTGACACTGGAGCTCAAAACGTGTTTAGAGTTTTGACCGCCTCCACCGGTCTTCTGTGCAGCGGGACTACACTGCAAAAGGGAACTGGCGTACAGCACGGTGGCCTTGGAGGTGAACTTGACCTCCCTGCACAGCGGGGCTACACTGCAAAAAGGATAATGGCGGGGAAACGTGAAACAACGAGGGAAAGTGACAAGCTGGCGAAAGGATTGGAGAGGAAATAAACGTGAAAATGGTTCCGTCCCGAAGGGACGCCGCGGCTGGCTGCTTCCGAGCAAGCATCGCTCCGTCTCTCTCGCACCCGATCGGGACGCCCCATGAGTGCGAGCGAGACGGAGGCAGGACGCTGTCAGCGCGCTGCCGGGGTGATGTGCGGGCCGGGGCTCGGGCCGAGGCCGCACAGTGGGCCGGAAGACCGGTGGAGGCGGCCAAAACCCTAGACGCGTTTTGAGCTCCAGAGTCGCTAAATTGGACTCGAACCGAACGTGTGACACCACCAGTGGATTCCTCGTTCGGAGAGCAATCCATTGGTGGGGTCACACGTTCGGTTTGAGTCCCATTTAGCGGCTCTGGAGCTCAAAACGCGTCCGGAGTTTTGGCCGCCTCCACCGGTCTTCCGGCCCACTGTGGGCCGCCGTACTTCCATACCGTAGCGCGAGGCAGCCAATGCCTGCACGGCGTTCCTGCCGCCCCGTTCCGAGGCGTCGCTCTGTGTCTGTCGCACTCCTACAGGGCGCCCCATGAGTGTGAGAGAGACAGAGCGACGATGCTCCGGACTCAGACGGCTGGGGCCCGTCTGGGCGGAGCGCGGGGAACGCTGAGGAACCCGGAACAGCGGCAAGGGATGCCGCCAGGCAAGCAGGCAGGCAAGCAGGCAGGCCGTCAACGAAGAGGGGTGGTCAATGGAGGCTGTAGCCTAGGCCAGGGCTTTGGGGTGCCCAAGGAAAGGTGGCAAGGGGCGCCCCCTTTCGCCACCTGCGCCTCTCCCAGCCCCGCACAGTGGGCCAGAAGACCGGTGGAGGCGGCCAAAAGTCTCGACGCGTTTTGAGCTCCAGAGTCGCTATATGGGACTCGAACCGAACGTGCGACCCCACCAATGGAATGCTATCCGAACGAGGAATCCATTGGTGGGGTCACACGTCCAGTTCCGAGTCCCATTCAGCGACTCTGGAGCTGAAAACCCGTTTAGATTTTTGGCCGCCTCCACCGGTCTTCTGGCCCACTGTGCCCCGTCCCGCCACGTCACAGGGTCACCATCTTTACGGCAAGAGGAGAGGGTCCCGCGACAGACTCACATACGTTCGCTAATTACGTAACCAGGGGGCGGGGAAGCCTCGGGAATCTTCACTAACTCAAGGCAGTGGGGGATTAGGTTGTGGCTCTCTGGCGCTCAAAGTGGTCGAAAACGCGTCTGCCGTTGCGCAACCGGCGGAACGCAACGCGCCCGTCGTCGTGCTACCCGAGTCGTGCCCCACCTCAAGTAATGGGAACGGGAAAAAATAAAAGTTTTTTTAATGCCTAAATTTTTAATTTTTTTAAAAAAATTTTTCCAAGGGTGTACTTATTTTAAACTTGGGTTGCTATCAAGCTGCCATACATATTTAGACAAGAACAAAACTTTTTAACTTTCTAGTTTTGTGCGTTCGGAAAATTAAAAAAAAATGGTCAATTTCATGTTTTGCAGAAAACAACAAAAACAAAAAACAACACTACTCACCTGGCAATCTGTTTGAAGTGGAACTTCCGCCGCGGCTTCTTGCTGTTCTTGCACGTGTCTCGGCCCTTCTTCCACACGTGGCTTCTCCAGGCCGGCTCCTGCGGGGCGACAACACACCGTTAGAGCGACCAGGGCTGGGACAGATACTTTATATTTTTACCTAGGTACGATACAGATACTGGATCAAAAAAGTACCTAGGTACATTACAGGTACTTGATCGAGCTCAGTACCTAGGTACAGTTACAGGTACTTTGGCAAAATACCTAGGTACTTTGCAGGTACTTTCAGATATTTTGATATTTCAACACATCCGCCCAGTAACGCAACCAAAACAACCTCGCGCGACTTTTACGTCCCTTTAAACTTTCTTGCGTCAATGACCCTTTTCATGCCAACGTGTGTGCTGTTTACAACCCCGATTCGTCACGCCGCATCGTCGGCGGCTCCAGGGACCATCCTTGACCTCGCTCCTATAATGGGATGGTTCCGGTAACGCATTTTAGGGACAAACCCTATGATCCCTGCTGAGATGTGTCCATTGTTTCATAGTGCAAGTCCTCTGCGTTCACCTTGCAGTGCGTGCGGTGACCAGACCTGCCACATGGAGCCCGAGGAGGCACAAAAAAAGGGAGGGGGCCGAATATCTGTTTCTTCCCCGAAAACAGGCAGTCCTCTGAGTGTCTCTCTTTACCCCCGCATGTTGTGAGCGCATCTCATTACCCTTCTTTCCCTACATTCGCGCCCAAAAGTACCTGTAAAAGTACCTGCAGTTCTAGGTAAAGTTACTGCCCAAAATGTACCTAGGTACAGGTACAGTTACAATTGTGACTTGAGTACCTAGGTACAGTTATAGGTACCAAAAAGTACCTAGGTACAGTACCTAGGTACTTTTACCTAGGTATTTCCCAGCCCTGGGAGCGACCGACTATACAGCCAGCGGCCAGCGGACTGATTCCGAGAGTCGTTTTCGTCGCTCTGTCTCTCTTGTACCCCATCAGCACGGCCCAAGGGTGCGACAGAGAGAAAATGAACAGTCTCTTCGGGATGAGTCTATCAGTGTACTCGTACAGCGGAAGGGGGTTACCGTACAGTTTGACGGTGCACAGTGGGTCAGAAGACTGGTGGAAGCGGCCGAAATTTTTTGACGCGTTTTGAGGTCTTGCGTTGCTGAATGGGACTCGAATCCGCACTCGAATCGGACGTGTGACCTCACCAATGGGTTGCTCTCCGAACGAGGAATCCATTGGTGGGGTCACACGTTCAGCTCGAGTCCCATTTAGCGACTCTGGAGCTCAAAACGCGTCCGGGACTTCGAGCGCCTTGACCGGTCTCCTGGCCCACACGGAAAAAAAGAATTTGTTGTGACAACGAAAATGTATGTTGATTTTGGGATAGCAAAAAAAAAAGTTGTTAGACGTACTATAAATTTGTTGTGAGAACGAACACTTTGCTCTCACGACAAATTATTCGTCAGGAGTACAAACATTCATTTTATTGTGTTTTTGTACTCCTGACGATATAGTTCGTTGTCAGAACGAAATGTTCGTTCTGACAACAAATTGGTAGTACGCCCAACAACTTTTTTTAGCTATCCCAAAATCAACATACATTTTCGTTGTCACAACAAATTCTTTTTTTACGTGCACCGTGCGGTGGGTTCGCCACTGTTCCTTTTGCGCCGGACCGCTGGGTATAGTCGGACGCCCCTAACCTAACCCAACTCTGGGCGCGACCCGAGGCGGGAAAGTCCCCCGGGACGGGGAGGCTGTGCGCACCTGGTACTCGTAGGAGGGCTTGAGGGCGTACAGCGCCATCTCCTGGTGGAAGACGGGCGTGGCCGAGCCCGACAAGGGCGGCACGATCCACACCCAGTCCGCGGGGCAGCCGTTGCGCAGCCGGTTCTCGTTCTCGTAGTGCTTCATGAAGCTCTCGGCCGCCGTGTGGTGGTCCACGATCGTCACGTTGCGACTCTGGAAGCTGTGCAGCACGGCCACGTTCGTCTCCACCATGGCGCGGTCCTTCCACAGCGTCACCGGCGTCCGCGTGTCCAGGCCCATCTTGATGGCCACGGTCTGCGGGAGAAGCACAACACTCTTAAAAAATGAACTAAAAAGAACAAAAATCCACCCAGAATTATCTGCTTTCACGTTAGCATTATCGGTATTTTTAAAAAAAGGTAGTGACGCCACCACCCACGCCCGAAGTTCCAAAGGGTTTCCCAAAATTCCCGGGGGGCCGTGGGGCCGGGCGGGGCGGGGAAAAGTTGGGGGTACCTCCAGGGGGAAGGTTTTATTTGGGTGTGGGAGGGGTTTGGGGGATCTCCGTGCTAAAGGGGCCAAAACCCCCTTAAAAAAGGGGCCCCCAAACCCACGCCCCCCCCAGGGCAACAGCATGGCGACAAAGGGGGAGACCTCCAGCGGGAGCCCCAGGTTCCGCCCAACCCTTTTAAAACCCGGGGGAAAACCGGCCGGGTTTCCCCGAAAACAGATTTGAAGGGGGAGAATTTTAAACCCAGTTTGCAAACTTTGTTTTTTTTTTTCCCCCCCCCTCTCCTCCTTTTTCTCTCTCCTCTTCTTTCTCTCTCTCTTACACAACCCCCACACACCCCACCCACAAACACACACACACACACACACACAGAGGGGGTCCAAGAGGGGGGGAGGGGTCAATTACAAAGGTTATTCCATCTGATTCAATTGGCTCAAAGAGTTCAAACCCCAGCAAGTGACCCGGGAAGCACCTCAGCAAGTACAGTACTAAGTGACTCGGTAAGTACCTCGAAGTGCCTTAGGAATCACGAAGTGCCTCAGCAAGTACCTCCACAAAGTACCTCGGCGAGTGCCTCAAGTACCTCAACGAGTACCCCAACGAGTACCTTAACGAGTGCCTCGGTCAATACCTCGGCAAGTGCGTCGGCAAGTACCGCGTCGAGCATCGGGGAGCGGGCCGGACACGGCACGGGGTCCGAGCGGTCCGAGCGACGGCATTAGGGGACAATCTCCATATTCATGGCCTCATGGCGGGGAGGAGCGAAAAAGCCGAAAAGCTGCGGCGCCACGCACCGCGCGGCACAGTGGGCCAGAAGACCGGTGGAGGCGGCCAAAACTCTAGACGCGTTTAGAGCTCCAGAGTCGCTAAATGGGACTCGAACCGAACGTGTGATCCCATCAATGGATTGCTCTCTGAACGAGGAATCCATTGGTGGGGTCACACGTTCGGTTCGAGTTTCCATTTAGCGACTCTGGAGCTCAAAACGCGTCTAGAGTTTTGGCCGCCTCCGCCGGTCTTCTGGCCCACTGTGCACGACACGGGCTGCTCGCCTCAAGACAAATTCAACAGGATTAAGGAAGCGAAACTTGATTAAACGGCCCCGATGTCTTTCCATGTGCCTCGCCCGACTGGCTGGTCCCACTGGCTGGACTGGCTCGACTCACGTGGGGTGCGACAGCTCCACCTCCATGACAAGGTCCAGGGGCAGGTCGAAGTAATCCGGGTCGTGGCCGTTGGCGGACAGCACCAGGGGCAAGATGTCGAAGCGGGACATCTTCGGCTTCCAGCCCAGCTTGATGCACACCTAGGGCAGAACACGTCGTCAAGGTCACTGGTCAAATGGGACGAAAGACAATCTCCCCGCCCCCCTTCCCCTTTGCTCCAGTTTTCCGGTTACAGCCGTCCAATTTAGAAGGTGACAGTGAGGGAACCGATTGTAGGTCCATGTGCAAGGCACAATAAACGCGTTAACCTTATGCATCTAAATTGAAAAGTTTAGACGCTGTGACCGGAAAACCCTGACAGGGGAGGGGGCAATGGTAGTCGGGTTCTTTTTTACACAACGCTCTCAACGGACTGCGTGGGCGTGGTATCCGTAAGAAAGAGCAGTCTTCACGATTTGAGAGAAAAAGCTGAACAACTACTGCGATTCCTCACAAAATGCTCATGTATTTTTCGAACAGGGAAATTGACGTATTTGTGTAGGAATTAGCTATGTACAAATTTGTACATATAGTTGTACTGTAATTTTATGAATAATTAAACACAATGTGTAAATAATTGTCCCTAATGTATTTATGTACACAGCTACTCTACAAACTGAAGTGTGTACTCAGTATGCATCTACAGATGCATACTTATAAGTACACACCTACAGATGCATACCTAGCTGAGTACACATCTACAGATGCATACCTGTTAAGTATGCATCTGTAGGTGCATACTTGGCAAGTATGCATTAGTAGGTGTGTACTTGTCACCATATAAATGCCCAGTATCAAGTACACATCTACAGATGCATACTTGGCTGAGTACACATCTACAGATGCATACCTGTTAAGTATGCATCTGTAGATGTGTACTCAGCCAAGTATGCATCTGTAGATATGTACTCAGCTAGGTATGCATCTGCAGGTGTGTACTTTTAAGTATGCACCTGTAGATGCATACTGTGACACACTTCAGTTTGTAGAGTACTAATGAACGAAGTGTTCAATGGACAAAGGAACATAAAAATTTAGTGTTGAAAAAAAATGCACAAAAAAAGTGGTGGTGTTAAATTTTTTGAGTAAAATTTGTAGCGAGTACCTCAGTGAACTCGACGTTCATGGGGTCCCCCGTGATGCTGCCGTCCGCGTTCTTGTATCCGGCGTACGAGATGAGCTGCGAGTTCCAGACCCGGAAGTCGTGCTTGCCGTCCGTCCGCTGGGGAAACAGCGTCAGCGCGGAGCTGCCAAAGACAAAACCAGTTTGACCCTCACGCCCGGTCCATCCCTCTGGGTGGTGTCTCTCTCGCTCTCATGGGGCGTCCCGTATGGGTGTGAGAGAGACGGACCCACGAGACCTCCCCCTCGGAATCAGCCTATGCTGTCGCTACACTCTAGAGACTCGCCAACGTGGACATGGTACACGCAAATTGGCAAGCGCACTGTTATTTGTCTGAAACTTGCATTGACACTTTAAAGCGTGGACACACACTAAAAGTCGGTGGGCTATTTTTGGCTCCAACTGGAAAAAAACTCTGTCCATTACCAAATCTGGCGAAAGCTGCAGTGGCAAGTAAATTTCTGGCCGGTGACACTTTTCGTAAAGCAAAGCAGTTGGTAACACAAAATGACCATATACATTTAGTGAGTACACTGTCGAGTCCCTACGGTACTTCATGAAGGTTCGGTGCGCCGCTGACTTACCGAATGTTGCCTTTGTTGGTGCTGTACTTGATGTGGTTGCAGAGGGCCTCGAACATGCCAGTGGTGGTGGTCACCGACCTGCAGTCGAACACCTGCAGTGGCAAAGAAACAAAAGAGATCGAATCAAAAATGAGCGCGAAATGAGTGAAATAAACGCGGACGAACACAGCAGCCGCCAGCCGCCTACGCGGCGGCTCCCCGCCCTGTCCCTTCCGGGTGTCGCCGCAGGTTCCTCCGAGGAAGATTAACACAGCTGCGGTATGTGGCGTCACTGCGTCCCGCCCCACCCCGCCTTGCCCCAACCAGCCACGCCTCACCTCCCCGTCCACGCCGTCCTTCCCTGACATTTTTTTGTGACCACCGCGCCGCGCCCCGCCGCAAGCGTTGATGTATATCTCTTGGCTCAACCTGCTGCCCTTCCCCGCACACTCTTAAAACCTTACGAAGTATTTTGAGCATACATATAACAAACTAAAATACTTTGTTATACGAAGAAATAGTTCGTAAATTACGAAGTATTTTCTTTGTAAGCTTACGTATGCTCAAAATACTTTGTTATACAAACTAATTTTCTTTGTAAGGCCCAAAATAGTTTGTAAGGTTTTCTCGGTGCATAGCAGCAACACTGCTAAAAATTTGCTAATGACGAAAATTATGGCAAGGTTAGCATTTTCATGTAGTGCGCCTCGCGGCGGGCATAGGACCAGCATCGTGCGACCTAGCAACACCGCGCTCCAAAGGCAAGCCTGGCGCCATGGCCGCTGCTTCCGAACAACGTCGTCCTGTCTCTCTCGCACTCATGGGGCGCCCCGTAGGGGTGCGAGAGAGACAGAGCGAGGAGAGCGTAGTTCGAAAACGGCCCACTGGCGCGCGGCCGGCAGCGTGGAGAGTGGCGAGGAGGGCGCGGATATTCATGCGATATCGCACGCTCATCTCTCTCTCTCTCTCTCTCTCTCTCTCTCTCTCTCTCAAGCTCGCCGAAATTTCGATTGCTTGCCTGCAACCATAAGACTCATATAACTCATATAAATAGGTAGTTTTACTGTCCACTCATCAACTCAATTCTAAATCTGTTAATCTGTAAATCTGTTATAAAATTGGTATTCTCATTTCTTTTTTTTTTTATTTTTGTGTGTGTAATTACCTGCAATGTAAGCATGACTTTTGATTTGTACCTGATCCCGAGAGCGGTGCCATACTCTCGTGGGACTTAAGAGTCCTCTTGTATTGTACCTACTAAATAAATAAATCAATCAATCAATCAATCTCTCTCTGCTCGCGCCTCTCGCGCTTTGAGCGCACTTTGAGCGCGTGCTCTCAGCCACTGCCACTCCGCCACACTGCGTTCCACTCGCGGTGCAAATCCGCTTCGAGCCGACTGCCTAGGCAACACCTGCGGAAGGCCTAGGACCTCGTGTGGCGGCAGCCACGACTCTTGATGTCACGCACGGAGAAAAAACACGCTGCGGATTTCCAGCCGAGGCGCGTGGATCCAGATGGGGCAAAGGGACATTTGACCCCCAGACCCACCTGTAAGGAAGGCAAAAAGCAACACTTTGATCATTTAGTTAGGCAAAATTTGGTACTTTGCCCCTCAGGCTAACTCTGGATCCACTACTGCAGCCGAGGTCGAAGTCGGGTCGACTGATTTCGTCTCGTCCATTACACAAGACTACTTGCATGGTTTTTAGGAATTCCGGTTGAGCTTTTCTTTGGTAAGTACAGGGCAGTTCATGCACTAGTTGAACTGAATACGCCTTAAGGTATGGATTTTTTGGCTGAATGCGTAGTCTATGTTAAGCGCCATCAGCAGGAAACACTGGCTCATAGGATGTGATTCTCTCAAATTATATCTGCTTCAGCATCATTTAAGTTATCGCATTGGTCCGAATTGTTTTCGATCAATGTTACAGAATGCGATACGCTGGGTTTGGGTCAGATCTTGGGTCGGATCGGACAAGGTAACGAAGTTTGACCTAGACATAGAATACAACATTCACTTCAATAACTTGTTGGGGTGCCAAAAGTGCAATGAGAATGGCATTCTTGCGAAATAATCTCACGATATCACCTGAAATTACAAAGAATTATGCGTCGGCGTTGTTGGGGGAAAAGGAGGGGGAGGCTGATGCATCAGCAAACCCGCGGCACGTTGACCCTGGTCTTATCATGCCCGTGACCCAGTCCGCAGTGGCTTTGCCGGTTATTCTGCTCAGAGATGTTGCTCCGAGAAGTCGCTCTGCTCCTGCTGCTGGTCACGACAGCGAAGGCGTCGCTAGGTACGTTCGGACGTCAATGGTTGTGTGAGGGAGCGGAGGATCCTTGCCTACCTTTCAGGGTTTATTTTGGAATGAGGGTGAAATCGCGCACTCGACCGATTCCTTCAGCGGCGTATTAGGCACCGGGTCAGAGGGTCAGCTGACCCCCCAGTTTTTGGAGCTGCCCCGGGTCAATCCCCTGCGAGGTAGGCAACATGCAATACATTGACCCCCCAACTTTTTTGACGTTCCTACGCGCCTGGATTCCTTGCCTTGAGCCTCATTTTCCTTGCACGCCTGCACTGTGAAAACTTGTCAAAAATATATGGAGTGCCGATTTCACTGACACTTTAGTTTGTATTTCGAAGAAAAAACTCACAGGAACTTGGTGGATATTTTTAAAAAATCTCCGCCATACTTTTTCTGGAAATGTAAGTGTGTGTGGTAATTGAGTGGCAATGGTTGACTTTCTCCGGCATCAACAGGTAATCAGGCTCATTGTAAGAATACCTGAAGGATAATTTTTTTAAGCACCGACGTTGGCAATAACCAATTTCAAGTTTAGACTGAGTTTTACGAAAGCATGTACTGCACTTTTAAGGATTTTGCAGCAATTGCAATTTGTGCAAAAGTTAACTTTTTTGTTAAGTTTGTATATAAATATTCAGAAAATCGGCTTTTAAACATGTGTAGGTCCTTTATTTCAAGTCAAAACTTATGAGGTTAGATTTGACGAACCACGAAACAAAACAATGCAGTGAACATTTTTATGAAGAGAAGTGTATCTGTTACTGTCAAACTGAGTTTGGGTAAAGCGAATATTTAAATAAATGGCTAGAACAGTAATTTTTTTCACAGAGAGCATACCCTTCAACACGTCAGGTTGGTCAACAGGACCGACAATCTGCAACGTGACGTGTACAAAGAATGCATACAGGTCAAACACTTTAGCCAGACGCCGTTATCAAGCGGTGTATGCCTTGAGATTCACGCCTGACCGAGCCATCTACCTTGAGGTCGAAGAGTTCATTGAGTCATCTGTCTGAGTGCATTTTGAATTGAGAATATCTTGACAGAAGGGGACATTCGCAGTTACACTATTTCGAAATCAATTGAATGCCGAACTTAACCTTGGTTAAGACTATATCAAGTTAAAAATCTTTACACTTTACCGTGGAGGCGGCGAGTTCTTTTCAGCACAATCTTCCCGATCTAACCCCTGCACTCTGAGTAAAAAATTCTTGTCTTTTTTCTCCAAAACTTCTGTTTAGGTTCAGCGACAAGCCTTCGATGGGAGCTGTTTACGGGAGATGGGAACCTTCCTAACGACGCCGTGGTTGGAGGTTACCAGAAAGTTAACAACGCGATCAAGCCTCACTACATCGCCCGCGCCTTCAACCCGGACGGCGGCGTCATCCCGATCGCCGTGTGCAAGTCCAGTGACGACCGCCGCTGGCTGGGATGGGGGGCGTGGAACGACGGCGAAGGGTCGGCGGCCTCCATCCAACAGTATGAGGTGTGTATGTGTGTGTATGTATATGTATGTATGTATGTATGTATGTATGTATGTATGTATGTATGTATGTATGTATGTATGTAAGTATGTGTATGTGTGTGTGTGTGCAAAACCGCCTCGGACGCAAAATGGGTACCAAGGGCACAGCATGCCAGTTTTACGGCAAAGAAACTTTCGAATGGATTTGTAGAGAACGAGTATGAAGTCTGCCCCAAAACGAGCAGCTTTTCAAGGAGTGTGTCTCGGCATTGAAATGTTACAGGTGGCTTGCGTCGACAAACTGAAAGTGCGCTGGGTGCCGGCAGTGGCCGGCAATCTTCCAGACGGAGCCGTACCGGCTGGCGTTGACGCAAAGGGGCAGAACCTTTACGCCTGCAGGAGCTTCGACAGCAGCCTAAACCCAAAGGACAGGAACCACTTCATGATGATGACACCCGGAGTGGTAAGTCTACTCAAAGACGGTGAAAGCCACGTCAGGAGAGGAAATTGCCAGATATACTGAAAACTTAAGTGTGTACCGCGATACAGAGAGCGCACAAATGTGAGCTGAGTACACACCTAGAGCACTTTAGACTGTACTGAGTTGTATAGGAAGAAAGTAGGTTATCACTGCACATACCCATTGCAATGAGGTCATATGGTTCCACTAGAATTGCGCTATGATTTTTTTTACCTAGACAATTAATCCCAAGAAACCGAAACTGCTATTGGACGTGCACTTAGAAATCAGCTACTTACGGTGTTGTTCTTGTTTCAGTTACTGCCATATTCAGGCGCGTGCAAAGTGAACTTCTTTGGAGTGAAAAGCTTTTCAACATACGAAGTGCTCGTTGTGGTCGACGATTAAGGGCGGAAGGGATGAAGTCGAACAGAAGACGACATGTTATTGATGGAGCATTAATAAATGTTTCTATCCTTCTTTTCCGTCCTGGTGGGCTCACTAACAAACGTTGAAACAGTATTCCGGTTGGATAAGAACTACGTGCCGGTGTTTTATGAGCATGTCAACCCAATACCGATTACCAGTCACGCACATCCATATGATGTAAGTAAATAATTTGTTGTCTTAAAAATTTTCGGAGTGATTTTCAATTAGTCTCAATCGGTTGCAAAGTAATCCAAACCTCAATGGACCTCATCAAAAGACTCATTAAACCACACGCTGTGTGACAGCCTGAAAACGAGTTTTACGATGCGACTGTCTACAAGTCCAGTTTTCGTACCCCGCCGAAGTATGCAGTTTTGCTAATTAAGTTCTAGCCGATACGGAACGCACTGCAGCCAGTCACGTCCACCATGGCTAAGTGAAACTGAGGAGGAGAGAAGACAGAGGGAGAGGTGGGGGTGGCGGAGTAAGGGAAAGGGGTGGTTGGAGGGGGGGGGGAGGGGGGGGAGGGGGGGGGGGGGGAGGGGGGTTTGGGGGGGAGGAGGGGGAGGGGGGAGAGGGGGGGGGAATGGAAAGGAGAGAGGGAGGGGGAGAGGGAGGAAGTGAGGGAGGGGGAGGTAGGGGAAGGGCGTTTTTGAGTGCAGCCGTGCGTCGCGTTCCTTATCAACAAGTCGCCGAGCGCGTAATCGCGACTCAAGGATGACACGACAGCCCCTTACAAAGCGGAGGGGCCTCAATGGGCCACGCCGCCCACGCCACTGGAAGAACGCAGACTTGGCAGGCAGGGATCGCTTCAACGCTGAAACGGGCAGGTTCTCTTTCGGCAAACAGTTTTGTGCGCTGCGGTTATCGAGCGCTGGGAATCCAGGAGCATGACACCACGTTGAGGGGAATGTGACAAAATGACACGTTCCTTTGAACGTCGTGTCGCATTCATTGAAATGTTTATCAGCCAAAAATTGGCAAACTCACATTCAAAGGAATGTGACACTTTCTAACATTTGTTGACGACACGTTCTTGGATTACCACTGTACCCTTACCTTTGCTCTAAAAGCTAGCCTGAACTAGGCGCTGCTCTCTATGCTAATCTTAATCAATCAAGCACACCAATGAGCTCACGGCCAACCTAAACGAAGCTTTAGCTTGCTTTAGCCAGCAAGCTAGCCTAACCAGCGATGCCAACTCTGCTTCATCTTACGACGCTGGCAGGAGAATGCATGAAAATGCATGAAACGCATTCCAGTGGGGTGAAGGAAGCGTGTGCGCTGCACGGGCCGACAACACAACAAAAACAAACACCAGGCGCGAGTGCAAACGTGCAAACAGCGAGCATGGAGCCAGCAGCGAACAAATTGATACTCTCTTTCCGACCAGACGCGAGAGAAAGAGAGAGACAAAGAGATGAAAGGGGAAGGGGGGATGGAGACAGACAGATGCGGAAGGGGGGGGGGGGCGAGGACAAGGGATGAGGGCGGCCGTGCTGGCAAGAACTGGGAGTAGGTCGGAGGGCGAGGGGAGGGGGCGTTGCATATGTGATGATTACTTGGAGCGGACAGGCATCTGGGGTCGTGTGGGCCGTGTAGCAGTCGGCTGCAGACTGACTCCGAGAGTCGTTTTCGTCGCTCTGCCTCTCTCGCACTCATAAGCCGTCCCGTACAGGTGCGAGAGAGACGGAGCGACGAAAACGACTCTCGGAATCGGTCTGCTGGCTGAGCCCTGGCTGCCACGCTGCCCTGGCTGCCCTGGCTAGGGCGCGTGTACCAGCAGCCCCCTCCCCATATTGGAGGCAAGCTGACGAGCTGCAGACGGCGCAGCGCCACCGGCGGGGCGGGGCGGGGCGTGGCGTGGCGGGCGGGGCGGGGCGGGGGGGTGGCGGGGCGGGCGGGGCGGGCGGGGCGTGGGGGCGGGGCGGGCGGGGCAGGCCCGCACTTGCCGAGACGCACTCAGCCAAAGGTCTAGCTGCGCGAGCTGCGCGAATCGCCAAGCCTTGGCGGCATCAGCATGCACCCCTCCGATTTGCGATCCAAATTCACACAACACGACCTCCCTCCACGCTCCGGCACGCCAAGCCGCCCGCCCCGCCGTCCCAGACATTCCAGACGCCTCGCGACAAAGAGACTGGCCAGCAGACTGACTCCGAGAGTCGTTTTCGTCGCTGTCTCTCTCGCGCACCTCTACGGAACGCCCCACGAGTGCGAGAGAGACAGAGCGACGAAAGGTCTCTCGGAGTCAGTCTGCAGCAGGGCGGCAACCTAATTACTTTACACCGCGCACCACCTTTGCCGCCTTTCGTCGCCCCGCTGGTGTGATTAATGTTGGTCACACTGCTCACAGCGCTCTGTCTCTCTCGCACACATGCGCAACGCCCCATGAGTGCGAGAGAGACAGAGAAAGCGTGTTCGCTGTGGAGTCCAACTTGGAGCAAATAGGCTCCTCCCCAAGCAGTTCCCTGTCCCCTGTCTCATCAGAATCACCCCCTTCTTGTCCACTTGTTGCGGTTTAGTTTTTTTTTTGCGGTGTGCCCAGCCCGCCGGCCGCACTAAAGTATTCCGGGCGCGGCCGACGAGTGGGCAGAGTGAATAATGGAAGCAAAAGCCTCTTCAGGTTCGCCCCCTGCAGCGTGCCGATATATCAAAACCGCGAACCGAGGCCTGATGCCGAACAGTGCGTCGTGGGTCTGTCTCTCTCTTGCACACATGCAAGCAAGAGAGAGAGAGAGAGAGAGAGAGAGAGAGAGAGAGAGAGAGAGAGAGAGAGAGAGAGAGAGAGAGAAATCATCCGAGCCTGCTGCTCGGCCTTAGGCGCACCATGCAATTCGCGCGCCTAGAGTGACGTCACTGATATCAAGTTAGGCCGCAAGATTTACGGAGAGAAGCGCCACGCCACGCCGTGACCGCCGTTACATTATTTTTCGCTCGGCGCGCGTTGCGAGAATGAGCACCGACGCACGCCACGCACGGAATGTGCCCAGCCGGAAACATAAGAAATGTAATCGGCAAAGGTTTTTGAAAAGTAACCCTTGTAAATTGAGTGGCACGGACTAGTAGGATACTCTACTGCAGTACCTGACAAAGCAAGCAAATCCAGTAATTTTTCCTATGTCAAGTTTTTTCTTGTGTTAACCTGGAAGTGGCGATCACGTGGGGTGAACCCGCACTCTTTTCCACAAAGATTATTTTTTTGCACAGAAAAAAAGGTCTTTTAAAGACCTACTTTTCAGAACATAAAAAAAGTCAAGAAGCACTGGCCAATTCTCTGAGTTCAAATTTCTCTCTTTCTTTTACACGAACTCAAAGCGCACAAATGGTGGCGCGGTATGCGGACTACTCTCTCTCTCTCTCTCTCTCTCTCTCTCTCTCTCTCCTCTCTCTCTCTCTCTCTCTCTCTCCCCTATTTGTGACGGTGGGCCTCAATTGCATTTCCTTTTTTCGAGGCGTGGAAAAGGTGAGCCAAAGTGAAAGCGAGAGGCTGCATGCATATTCAGCGTCCGAAGTCGGCAGTCGGTCTGGGCTGACCACTGCCGGGACAGCAGGTTGGGGGGAAAGAGGGGGTGGGGTGGGGGTGGGTTTGGGGAGGAAGCTAACTGACCAGCGGCCCGCCGAAGGTAGCCGAGGGCCCCATAGCTCAGCCTGCCCCTCGCCCCGCTCGACTCCACCGCAGATCCCACAGGGTGGCTCGCCCCGCTCCGTCTTCCTGGAACCTGCCGTCTGTCGAAGGGACCCCAGTCGGGGGCAGTCAAGTACCCGGACTTTGATCCGGTACACTCGGACAAAGAACGCGCCACATCCGGTACGGTAAGAAACAAAAAATTAAAACTTGATGAAAACATAAAGTTTTTTTTTGGACCACCTCTAAATGACACACTCTCAGACATATGCGGACTTTTTCTCTTTCTTGCTTATAACGTTTTTTGAGCCAACTTAAAATTTACTTTTTTATCTGTAACTATGCAAAATTTGGATCGTTTTAAAGATAAAATTGTCAACAGATCATGTAGAAATTGAAAATTACATTGCAAAAAAATGGACAATACATTATACAATGAACAAAAAAGCTTAGCTCACAGCGAAAGAAAAAATAGTATATATTACGTTTGCACAAAAACCTTTTTGGCAAGAGATAAAAAGTCAATACGAGACTGAGATTGCACCAATTGATCCGAAGTGAGCATCGTGCGCTCAGAGCAACGATTAAATCTTGTGATGCCCGATCTAGTTAATTTGGCGTACAAAACGAACTTTTTCGGAGTGCTTTAACAACGTTACTCAATCGGCTCGAACCGAAGACGACGCCACGGCCGCGCGTTCCGACGAGGGGCACGGGAAAGGATGCTTGCACCCCTGCATGCTCGAGCGGATAATTGAGATGGAGGGCGACTCTTCGCTTCACCGTTAGATCGAGCCCCGCACAGTGGGCCAGAAGACCGGTGGAGGCGGCCAAAACTCTAGACGCGTTTTGAGCTCCAGAGTCGCCAAATGGGACTCGAACCGAACGTGTGACCCCACCAATGGATTGCTCTCCTAACGACGAATCCATTGGTGGGGTCACACGTTCGGTTCGAGGCCTGTGTAGCGAAGATGAAGCTCAAAACGCGTCAAGAGTTTTGGCCGCCTCCACCGGTCTTCTGGCCCACTGTGCCCCGTCCCCATCCCTCCGCGCAGCAGCAGCAGACTGATTCCGAGAGTCGTTTTCTTCGCTCTGTCTCTCTCGCACCTACACGGGACGCCCCATGAGTGCGCGAGGGGCGGAGCGACGAAAACGACTCCCGGAATCAGTGTGCAGGGGTCAGTTTGTCTCGCCGCGCCCGTCAATAAGACGCTTGGCTGATCGCCACTGGAGCGGCCCGCCTGCGTCGCCCGCCCGACTTGATCCCATCGAGGGAGACTATTTATGGCCGCTTAAATATCCTTTTTCTTCCGCTTCGGTCGCGCGGCGCACTTGCGAGACGCCGTATGCATACTTAATGGGGCTCATGATGGCGCGGCTGCAGGCCGAGAGTCGCTTCCGTCGCTCTGTCTCTCTCGCACCTCGACGGGCCACCCCATGAGTGCGAGAGGGACGGAGCGACGAAAACGACTCTCAGTGTGCTGCGCGGCTCGGCACGCCGGCATGCAAATTATGCATCCGATTTATCGGATGAGGGATGCCGGACCGCATTCTGGGCGCTCGGCAGCTGGCCCCGTCGCCGTCACGCGTGGCTCGTAAAACATAATAAAAATACGTTGTTTTTCTCGTAACACATAAGTTCTATTTTTATTTTAAATTGAGTTTACATTTCCGGTCGACTACTGACCTTTTGTTTCCGGCAGGCAAGACAAAACAACTGATGACGCAAGGCGGAAGGCGGCGGGGGAGAGCGATCCCTCGCGGACAAAATATTGCATAAGTTGCCCCTTACTTTTTTCAGAGTTGCCACCCCCGCGAAGGGAGCATGGGCCAATTTATGAAAGGTCGAATGACGCCGCCACGAGACCATGACACGCATCCGTCTCCTACTGTAAACATTTGCTGTTGTTGTTGTTGTTGTTACTTTAAGAAAGAACAGATACTGACATTTTCATCACATTCAAGTCATGACAATTTCATCAGAAATTGATGACATTATTGTCGAAGTCCCCACACTTCATGGACAGGCCTGACAAAAATGTCATCATTTTTATGTCAGGGAAAATTAGTCTTAGAATTTTCATGAAGTGGCAAACAAAAATGTTTTTCTTTCATTTTTAGCTTTTATCTTTTTATAGCTTTTCTTTTTGTTTGATGAAAGACGGCACCCGACTGCACCTACATGGTGGAGATTTTCTACAAGATACAAGAGAAATTCGACAAATAGCATCCTCCAGGTACAATGATTCTAAGCTCACGAAGGTTAGAAAGTCAACTTCACCACCATAACGCAGAGAATTTTCTCAGTATAATATGATGAACCTTCACGGTAAAACCGGAACCTGGTTTTCCCAGGAACCACCTGGAAATCGCCTATGTCTCTACCATATAGGCTTCCTGAAAAAAAAAAAAGGTACTGTTTTTACCGTGTTCACTTCAAGAGTGTCGTCCTGAGGCCTACCTGCAGCTTGGACCACTGGATGCGGCCGATGCAGCGCGCGGAGTTCCGCCAGGCCGTCTTGGCGCCGTACACGAGCTCGGTCTCGGTGAGCTGGTACGTGCCACTGGCTGCCACCTCCTTCTGCACCTGCTCCCAGCGGGCCGCGTGCGCCGGGCTGTTGTGCCTGCAACACCAGAGGCAGCGCGCGTCAGCAGCCTGCAGCAACACAGCGCAGCGCGTCAGCGGGTCGGACCGAGCGGGCAGCAGTCCCGGAGGAGCCCGTCCACAGTGGGCCAGAAGACTGATGGAGGCGGCCAAAACTCTAGAAGCCTTTTGAGCTCCAGAGTCACTATGTCAGACTCGAACCGCACGTGTGACCCCACCAATGAACTACTCTCCGAACGAGGAATCCATTCGTGGGGTCACACGTTTGATTCGAGCCCCATTTCGCGACTCCGGAGCTCAAAACGCGTCTAGAGTTTCGGCCGCCTCCACCGGTCTTCTGGCCCACAGAGCAGGGCCCCAGGGGGGCAACCCTCAGCATCCACATTCAGCGGCCAGGGGATCCACAGATCGCGCGCCGCCAATCGAACACAACCGGAGAAAGTACAAATAAATGAGGTGGCGAACAGGCTCCTTCGGGAATGAATCCTCACGATTACTCGCTGCTTTGCTTCGAGAGGACGCGATAATACAAGAAGAACACGTTTGTTTCTTGCTTGTTTCTTGCAGCAACCCTCCTATTACATGCGCAAGGCGGACCAGCTGCTACGTGATGATGACAATTAAATTACCGTACACACGCTGCAGTGTGTGTGTGTGTGTGTGTGTGTGTGTGTGTGATTATGCGTGACTACAACTACACCGTAATTACGGCGCGCAACACGACGGCGCCGATAGCGATCGGGAAACGATGGCTGCCTCTGCGTCACCGTAATTTGGAACGCGCCAATTTTCACCTCGATCCCAAATTTCATCACCCCCTCCCCCTTTACACTGCTCCGCAAAAAGATAAAAAAATCTAGTAAAATTTCGCGCAGATTCAATTGCTACGTAGTTTTTTTTTGTCATAGGCTTTGCACAAAATTGATCATGCGCGTGAAACGCAGGAGTTTGAGCTTAAAAACGCACACTACATAGCATACTGCAAAACACAACAAATATTTCAAAAAAATAGTTTTTTTCCCGTTTTAATTTTTGGTGTTTCGAAGTATTCCTTATTAAGAAAAGGTTCCCAAAATGGAAATTTCACCCTCTACGGGGGACAGCGGCGGTTGTCAGCCGAAGTCTTTGTGCTCTATCTGCCATCGGGCGATGGAGTGGGGAGCGAGGGGAGCGGGACGAGGCCCGGGGAACGCCCAAAATTACTCAGGGTACACAAAATGTTTTTTGCTGGGACACATAATTGCGTTTGAATGCATCCAGAAACATATGTGCACAGAGTGGAAAAATCAGAGTTAGGTCGTTGGGCAATTCGAAAGAAAAAGTCTGCCGATAAAATTCTGAGAGGCACACGCACGGAACGTATGTGCAGTAAGCCGTGCGATTGAGAAAAGCAGCGATTCGTCGCTCTGTCTCTCTCGCACTCTCGAGTTTGACGGGATCGGAAGAATCTGAATTCTCTCTCTCTCTCTCTCTCTCTCTCTCTCTCTCTCTCTCTCTCTCTCGGAGTCGCTCGGCAGAGCGAGCCCGCGTGGAAGGATCTGTAGTTTAGGCTACACTGGAAAAATATAATTTTTTTTGTAATTGTCTATTTAGATTTAAAAGAGAGATTTCTGTACTTTAAATACAATTAAACTGTTAATTGAGTGCATAAAAATGTAGTCAAAGTATAGATAAAGTATAGAAAACTATAGTTAAACTGTATAAAAACTACCAGTTATTTCGGACAACTATAGTTTTTGACCCCAGTTTGTCCCACTTGACTATATAGTTCAAAGTACAGTTTTACTGTAGTTTATTTACACAGGTAAACTTGGTTTAAAAAAGAAAAGAGACTGCAGTTTGAATTTTGCGGTCAAAATTCAAAAATAATAATTTTCGAGCCCTGTTTTGAGGAAACTCTTCCTCCCTCCCACCCCATGGGTAACTGAAGTTGTGTTGATTGTGTTTCTTGGGTGAATGTTGCCGGGAGTTGAACCTCGGACACTTCAGTTGCGAAGCAGAGGCCTTGACCACTGCTCCACTGAGCTTCCATGTGGGACAGGGCTTGGCCACTCGACCACATGGAAAGGCCTGCTATCCCCAGGAACTAGAGTGCAACTGCAAGAAAAATACAGTTTTACTGTAACTGCTCTGTACTATAAGTAAATTTTGCAAATCCAAGAAGTAATTTGTATTAAGTTTGCCTCTGAAACAAAGAGACCATGAAGTGATTTAATTTAGAGTGCCTTTTCAGTCTTATTTTTCAACGACAGGAGTCGTTACCTTTTTAACTTCTGAGACGTTCTGGATCAAGACGCTTCCTAATTTTTGTTGCGTTTAACATTCAAACACCTGGTTATAATGAGTTTGATGCTTCTTAACTAGAACTTGTTTGTCATCTTTGTCAAACTAGTGACACATTGTGGTTTGTTGATTTCCACGATTCCTTGTCACATAATACCTGACCAATATGGAACGTTATAAAATAATCAAACAGATTACCAGATGGTGTTTTAAAGATTTGGTTACATTCAGTCATGTGTTTTTGTTTTTGCTTTTTTTTAAATTTTAGTTTAGTTGTGCCTTCTAAAAGTCTCCAATGTCCAGTATTTCAACGTAAACTGTTGGTCTGCGCACTTATAACTTCCTAGACTCATACATTATAGAGACTAAAAACCCAAACCCTTTTTAGCTTGAAATTTTTTAAAAGAAATTACTAAAATTTCTAAAAAATATATCTATTCCCATCCTAATATTCTATATTTTAGTTACATTTTATAATTGTTTCTGTGTCTTCATATCAAATTGCAGTGCTTGACTTATCTTTAAACCATGCCTGAAATGCAAAATTACTGCAAATTGTAGTAAACATTCAACTTGCTTGTCATTGTGTATAAAAATGTGACCAGAAACTACATTTGCTTTGTGGATTGTGCTGAAGATACAAGTGTAGGCAGATCTTCAGTAGTAGACTACAGAATTAAAGAATTAATAACTTCCCTTTAAAGTACAGACCGTACTCAATACCTAGTTAACAAATAACAGTTCAGATAGAGTGCAGTTTTAAAGCACAGCAACCTTCAGTTCCAGGAGCAAACTGTACAACTGTACAACTGTACAAGTTCTGAAGTTTGTTCTTACAAAAAACTGCAGTCAGCAACTGCAGTTTTGGCACTGTAGTTTAAACTGTAGTTTCACTACAGATCCTTCCACGCGGGAGATGCACATGCAGGGACAGCCTTTGAACGCCGCAGAGGGCACGCGCTTCCCGCGAGATTCCGCCTCGGCGGGCCGCCGCACCTGACCGCACACCGCCGACCCGGCGCCATTCACCGCGGAGGGAGGCAACAACAACAACAAGAAAACAGCAACAACAACCAGCAAACAGCAACAACAACAAGCAAACAGCAACAAGTCAGGTGAGAAAGCAGTATTGGATGTCCGGACTTTACCCCCCAAATAAAGACTTTCCTCGAAAAAAAAAACCTTCAACAAATTTTAATCTTTTTATTTAAGTTTTTAGCAGATGATTTTTTTTACACATTAAACGCAATTTTAAACATTTTTATTCATTTTATTCAAGTTTTTCAAAATGTTTTTTTCTCAAGTCACGCGTCTGCATTTTTCCCAGAAAAACTCTGGCCGAAAGGCTTTTAGGACGAGACGCGGGGGCTAAGTCTGGAAAAGCCGGCGCGGACTACTTGTTCATCTCGTTTGTCAGCGCGCCGCGTACCGCCCGCCCGCCAGTGTACCGCCGCGCGGGTCTTACAAGGGTATGCGGGGAATAACGAGTGTCCCACGCAAACACGCCGGGCTTACTGGCGGCGACACGGCGCGGCACGGCGCGGCACGGCTAGGCCAGTCACTCCGCCAGTCCCTCCCTTGATAAGAATTAAGTGCGCCGCCCCGCGAGCCCCTGGGGGCGTTAGGGGCTAAATCCCCTCGACAGCCGCGGCAATACTCGAGCCCACTTGACCCCGATACGGCCAGCCGGCTGATTCCGAGAGTCGTTTTCGTCGCTCTGTCTCTCTCGCACTCATGGGGCGTCCCCTAAAGGTGCGAGAGAGACAGAGCGACGAAGACGACTCTCGGAATCAGTCCTGCAGGCCGCATCCCGGGTAGTGACGCAATGATACACCGGCAGTTACCCGCCACCTCAGCCTGCTGCAACAGCGGCTGGCTTCGGAGATGAGACAGGGCGAAGGAGCTACGGTTTGGAAGCGCGCTCTGGAATGCACGACGCGATTTCAAGATGATTTGCCGATGTAGAAGGAGTTTGTTTCCGAACAGGTGTTGTTGTTTTCCCCGTTGTTGTTGTCATTTTGGGTGTTCCTCTCGTTGCAGCGCGCGTCCGCCCCCAACAAAAGCAACAGCACGCCCCACCCCTTCCGTCCCACGCGCGGTGCAGCCAGGATTGCGACGCCACTCACCCCGGTGGGGGCGGAAAACAAAAACACCAAAAACGAAAACGACAAAAACAACAGCAGCAGGCTGTTTAGGCGGTGGTGTGCCGGTCCGTGCCGCACAGTGGGCCAGAAGACCGGTGGAGGCAGCCAAAACTCTAGACGCGTTTTGAGCTCCACAGTCGCTAAATGGGACTCGAACCGAACGTGTGACCCCACCAACGGATTCCTCGTTCGGAGAGCTTTCCATTGGTAGGGCCACACGTTCGGTTCGAGCCTATTTAGCGACTGTGGAGCTCAAAACGCGTCCAGAGTTTTGGCCGCCTCCACCGGTCCTCTGGCCCACTGTGTGCCGGCCGCGCGGCACGTTGGCGTCCCCGGCAATGCCCCGGAGGCGTTATACGGACGACTGGCGACACATAATTGCCTGAGGCCGCGGTTAAATACCGCTTAATTTATCGCAGACTGTTTTGTTTGTGTTGTTTCTTTTTTTCTATCAGTGTCCACTGTCTATCAAGGTGGCGAAGAAGGGGGCAGGAGGAGGCTTAAGGTTGGTCCGGGGGGAGGGGAGGTAAGGAGAGAGAGAGAGAGAGAGAGAGAGAGAGAGAGAGAGAGAGAGAGAGAGAGAGAGAGAGAG